AGAAACAAGAAAGGAGAATCATTATAGACCTCACAAACGTTACTACAAGATGGAAAATTCCAGAGCCTGTAAATCTGACTGCTCGCCAGGCAAGCGCTCAGCGAGTGAAGGCACTTACTGTGAAGTGTGATGACCTGAGTTCAAGGCTCAGGATCCACAAGAGGAAGGCGAGGACTCACCCCCCCGCCTTGCTCTCTGGCCTCCACACAGACACCATGTCATGCGCATCCCATGCCAACACACAAAATAAGTAAGCAAATGCAAAACTGAAAACTAAAAGGAGAGTATAGACGAGTTCGTGGTTAATATTTTCACTGATAGATTCAATGGGTAAATTCTTTGAAATATATGACTTTCGATTCAGGGGTGTGGGGAGATAGCTCAACGGGTGATATGCTTTACTGTAAAAGCATGCATACACGAGTTCAAATCCCCAGCCTCCATGTAAAAGGCTGGGAATGGTGTGTGTAGCTGTAATTTCAGTGACAGAGCACAGACACAGAGGGAACTTATCCAGCCAGGCGGTCTAGTTGAATACAGGTTCAGGGAGAGACGTTGGCTCAAAAGTTAATGTGGAGGGCAAGAGAAGTAGTTACCTAACATGGGCCTCTAGCCTCTGTACACACACACACACACACACACACACACACACACACACACACACACACCTTCTACAGAAAAGAATTCCAGGCCCAGGTGGTTCGCTGCAGCAGCCTATCAGATACTTAAGAAGGAAACAATACCAATTTACCACAAAGCAGGAACATGCAGCTTACTTTATGGCTTCATGTTATATAGCTATTTGCTCTGAACTGAAACATTCTCTTTTAGAGAGAGACTCACAACACTCAGGAACTAAATGAAAAATACCCCAAGAAATAAATGATATTAGCAAGACTCAGGAAGCTCCTTAAACTTACAAGAGTCACAAGACTCCTCCCTAAGGTCATATAATCAGCAATTATAATCGCTGAAGAGGGCAGGCTCTATTTGTGCAGGGAGCTCCAAGGATGACTCTTTCACAAATCTTCACCCATGCTGAGACAGGCTGTTCAAGGATTGCCTTTGCCATCCATGCTCCCATAACTAACACCCAAAACTTCGCCGCTTCACCAAGTTAGATGTGGATATAATAATTTCTTTGGTTTATCATTGTGGTGGTTTGAATAGGCCTGGCCCCCATAGACTCATGTGTGTGAATGCTTAGCCCATAGGGAGAGCACTATTGGGAGGTGTGGAGTAGGTGTGGCTTTGTTGGAGGAAGTGAGTTACTGTGGAGGCTGGTTTTATATGCGTGCAAGCTATGCCCAGTATGGTACACAGTCTCTTCCGGCCTCCTTCAGATCAAAATGTAGAACATTTGACTTCTCCAGCGCCATGTCTGTCTACATGCCACCATGCTTCCACCCATGATGATAATGGACTAAACCTCTGAAACTATAAACCAGCCCCAATTAAATGTTTTCCTTCATAAGAGTTGCTGTGATCACGTTGTCTCTTCACAGCAATACAACCCTAACTAAGACAATTATTAATGTCCTATCTGGGGTAAACAGACATTTAGTCATGTATCCTTAGAAAACATTACAAAACAAAACAAGCAACAACAACAAAAATAAAAAATAAAAATAAAAGAGAAAGAAAAGAAAAAAAAAAAGCACAGAATTGGGCATATTGGCCCACAGCCTATTGGAATCCTTGTTCACGCAGGCTGAAATGGGAAGACTAGAAGTTTGGAGGCCAGCCTAAGCTACTAAGTGAGTTCCGGGCTAACCTAAACTACATAGTGAGATCTGGTCTCAAGAAAACAACAAAAATTGTTCACAATCAGTATTAGTGGGGATATAGAATAACCAGAGTTCTTACCTTGGAAAACATTTGCCAGTCCCTTAGAAGTTAAATACAGATCTGCCATAATGGCTCAGCCTTCCAGACCCTCAGGTTTTCCCAAAGAAATGCAAGCACATATGTGTCACTACAATGATGTAGATGACAATGTCCATAGCAGCCCAGGGTTAATCTACAGATGAGTGAATAAGATAATTGTGGTGTATCCATGCAATTGACTACTATTTAGCAATAAAAAAGAACAAATAAATTTGTTTATCTTTATAAGCGGTTGCGGCTATATGACAAGCTGAGGCCCTCCTGCTTGATCTTTGTAAACTATATAAATGTGTCACCTTGAGTTTAACAAAGCTCAAATCATTCTCTCTGCAGTCACAATTCAATAGTATCTATGATTCAGTTACTTATTTTAGTCACAAAGGCAGGCATGAGCAGATAGGGAAATAAACGGATTCTTGGCAATGTCCACAAAGTGGAAGATTACAGGGCTCATGAAATTGAGACCACCCCGCTGTGTGCATATGGCATACCATAGGCGCTTGGTTGGCCAGGCTAACAGAAGGAATTCAGAGTAGTGGTTAACCTATTAAACCATTTAAACTAGGGTCAGCTATTAAGTCCTTCCATTGTAATAAAGCTAGATGATAAAAGGAGGGCAAGATAAAGCAGCCTTCCTCCATCTATTTTTATCACCTGTCCTGTGCTCAAGGGTAACCTTCCCAGGGTCTTTTAACTCTCCCAAAAGTATCAGTCCCCTTGAGGAGAATCTACAAGTGAGCGTGAGCATCCTCTTGTACAGAACTACATAGAAGATGTGTATAAATACATATGTGTATACTTACGTACATATATGCATATTTACATGTATAACTGCATATGACATATGTATATAGGTATAGCTACTATATAAGATAACTACAACAGCCTATCTTATATATGCATTGGCTTGGTTCACAAAATAAGCTGGAAAAATGCCCAGAGAGATAGATAACAGAACAAAATCTGCCTCTTGAATCAGGAGAATTTGCTAGGACTTCTGTAACTAGACTCACTGATTAGCAAGACCTTCTCTCTTTTGTTTTAGGTAAGTACAAGATGCTGTACATAGATGAGTGCCAAGAGAAAATGCACAGTCAGGACTGAGAGCCAGTTCTGGTGCCACTGTTGAGTGGGCTTGCAGTAAATCGCAGCCTCGGTGTCACTGTCTTGCCTGCCAATGAAGCCTTGAGGTCCCGAGAACTCTGTATTGTTTATGATTTAAAAACTTGATTTAAAAACTTCGAAAGGATAAGCAGCTACTTTTCCATCAAGTCAGCCAAATGCCTATCCCTCCGCTGTGCTATTCTGAGCAGTAATCTGCATATATACTGCCCAATCATGAACATCTGCATCCTGTTCTTTTACTTGGGACCAGTTCCTGAGCTCCCAGGGTCATGTGATCTACCACTATATCAGCTGCTTGAAAAAAAATCATCATTTTCTGAATCTCCAGAATGCTACCAACACTTCCTGTATTCAAAGCTGTCAAATTTTCTTCATGGCTGAAACTAGAAAGTGAAACAGGTAGAAATTGTCTTTTAACATAAACAGGGCCATTAAATGGCTTAACCTTTTGCTATTAGAATACCCCTTGGCTATTATGCAGCCATTTCACCTGAATATTAGCTCAGTGTTTGTGTGTGTTGTCCCCCAGGCCACCACCCCTCAACTTTTGCTGAAACTCTGGCCTCCAATGTGACAAGCAAGGGAGGTAGTGCCTTGGGTAGGGTGATTAGATATTGCAGTACTCATGAATGTTATTAATTTCTTATAAAAACAAGTTCAAGGGACATCAACTTGTCTCTTCTGTCAGGTGTCGAAGTCACAAGAAAGCGCCGCCTATGAACAGGAATTGTGCCCTCCCCAGAATGAATCTGCTGGCAACTTGATTTTAGACTTCCAGTCTCTGAAACTACAGGAAATGTCTATTGCTTATCACTGAGTCAAAGATACTCTGCTCTGCTGACTACGAGAAGAATTCTGGATCTTCTGAGAGATATACAACCAACTCAGAAGACGTATCCAGCCTCCTTTTAAAGAAAAGCTCCTTCTTTTTTAAAGTGTGTGCTTATGTGTGCATACGTGTGTGTGTGTGTGTGTGTGTGTGTGTGTGTGTATGTGTGTATGTGTGTGTGTGCGCACACGCGCGTGTTTATGTCTATTTGAGTGAATGTCATTTGTATGAGGGTGCTCACAGAGGCCAAAGAGGTTATCATCCCCCTTGGGCCTGGAGTTACAGGCAAGTAAGCCATCTGACATGGGTGCTAAGAACTGACCTTGTGTCTTCTGCAAGAGCATCAAGTGTGCTTAACTGCTCTCTCTCCAGCCCCATTGAAGCCCTAAGTTATCCTCAGCACTAGGGAAAAAAAAAAGAATACAACACAACACCTTCCTAACCGTGGTGTAAGCCATTTCACCCGAGCCCTAGCATTAACTTCAGGCTGTAAGACCCATTGGTGCTTGCTCATAGCATTTGCTTCTGATGGGGCTGTGCAGTCCATTTTAGATGGCAAAACCTGATTCTTAAAAATATTTCTGTTTGTATGTCTGTTGAGACTAACGTCTCACACCCTGTAGCCTAGGCTTGCTCAAACTTATGGCAATCCTCCTTCCTTGGCCCCCTAAGTGCTGGGATTACAGGTATGTCAGCAGTACGCCTGGTTACCTGACTTAAAAAAAAATTGTTTGAAGAGAAGCCTGTAATAGTCAGTCTTCTCCAACTTGCTATGCAGGTCATAACACCCAGGTCAGCAGTAGAAGACACTGTAGGTGCTGGGAGTGTAGTCCCTGACAGTGTGCTTAACGTGTGTAGCAGTCTGGTTTCCAGCACCACAAAGAAGGAACAGGAAGAAGGGAAGAGCCTGGAAAGAGGGTATCTGCTAACACTTCTTTCATGAATAAACACCCCAATTACCTCAGACACACGGTATCCTTCCTACCTTACATTTTATCCTTCTCAACAGCTTGTCAGACACATTGAATCTGGTGATGCAATGTTCCTGACAATGACTCTAAACTATTGCTCTAGAAAGCTATTGAGTTGTTGAACATTTTTCCTTGCTGGATTCCATATCTTCCCAATCGTAACTAAATAGGGGCCCCCAGAGAGGTACCTCAGTGTCAGAGCTGTTGCCATTCAGAGCCTCAATGTTTGGGTCCCTCCAGTCTTCTGAGAGTGAAGGGATGTAATTGTCTGTCAGAGCATCCCAAACCCTGTAAACAAAGAAAAGCTCTCATTAGCACACATCTGTGGCCAGGCCCCGCCCGGAGGAAGGAAGAGCCTGGCCAGGCAATAGAGAGGCTGCTGTGTGTGCCAGGCTGAGGTCATCTGCCTTCCAGCATGCAGGGGCAGCAGCTGAAAGACAGGATTAGAGGCATGTCCAAAGGAGAAAGCCACTAGCATGGGGCCCTGGCCAGAGGCTTCAGAGGGAAAGGTGTTGTGTTTTGCTGAGAAATTAATCTGCACCCCAGTCATACAGTTTATTTCTGAACCTCAGAAGTATCCTTGTTCCCTTCTCACAGTCTGAGAGAACTGAAGGGTAGAGGAAGGGATTGGGCAGACTCCCTGCCTGAGTCTTGTTAAGATTGGATGGCACGTTTCAACCTCAGAGGCCTCTCCTCTTCTATCAGGAATTGGCTCCTTGATACCTAATGTAGGCAAGTGGATAACATCAATATTGTAAGTGCTTACTTCTTTCCCAGAATGCTCTAGGGAGCCCACAGTGACACAATTCTGCCTTCTTCTTACATAGAATTTAAAGGTGCTGTGTTGCCATTATGGAAACTAAGGCAAATGTACAAAACAAAAAAACCCAGGCATGGTGATACCTCTAACCCCAGCAGCACTCAGGAGGCAGAGATAAGTGGATCTCTTTGAGTTTGAGGCTAGTCTGCTCTACATGTTAAGTTCTGGAGTGGAGTGGGGAGATGACTTAAAAAAACATTCTGAAGTCACAAACATATCAGGAAAATGAGTGAATTAGTTGAGCACAGACGCTTGAAATCAAATACAAAATAATAAGGTAACTGCCTTAAAATCAGGACTGGTATAAGATATATGGGTATATAAAAATATTTTTTCTGGAAAATAATGTATATAACTGGTGATTAAATTTTAAAAGATCTTACGAAAACAGTTTATTCACAGGGTGGACATCTGCTTGATATTTTTCTACCATACAAGAAAGCACTTTGAGAGAATGACGTCACCAAGCGTTCATGAGACAGCCACTCAGCAGGATTTCAGAGCCTGTTTCCTGTGTGTGTGTGTGTGTGTGTGTGTGTGTGTGTGTGTGTGTGTAGAGTATGTGTGTGTGCGTGTGTGCGCGCACGTGTGTGTGTGTGCGCGCACGTGTGTGTGTGTGCGCGCACGTGTGTGTGTGTGTGTGTGTGTGTGTGTGTGTGTGTGTATACCACAGGATGAATTTGGGTATCTTCTATTGCTCTTCACCATATTTTTGAGGCAAAGTCTCCACTGAATCAACCATTTTGGCTAGGCTTGCAGGCTTTTGAGTCCCCATGACCCACCTGTCTCTTCCCCTTCAGCACTACAGTTCCAGATGAACTCTGCCGGTACATTCAGCTTTTTACAGGGTACTAGAAAATCCAAACTCAGGTACTTATGCCTGTGCACGAAGCACCCCCCGCCCCAAGCCATCTCACTCATCCCAGAGGCTGCTTCTTAAACCATGGGGGATATCCTAATTACTGTCAGGGACTGTTAAAGCTGCATAGATCCCGCTGGTACTGTAGAACCAAGAAGAAAACATGGCTTGCTAACTCAAAGAAAAATGCTCCAGCCGCCACACCCACTGGAAAGGGCATGAGCCTGCTCTCAAATCACTGTTACATTAGTGCTTTGGGAATGAACACTCCTTCAGCTGTGTTCCTGCAGGAAATCCTGGAGAAGTGAGATTCAGCAAAGTCCAAAATAGGCTGTGTGCCCTTAGTACCTGAGGGGACCTGACATCATAAGGGACTGCATGCCTTGTATTGACCTTGAGATTGCTTAAGTCCTGAAAGTGACAGTTGGGAGCTTTTCTCCCCTGAGCCTTTATACTACTCTCTGGTTGTTTAGTTTTATTTTGAAGACAAAATTTGAAACTATCTCTGGCTGGTCTGTAACTTGCTTTGTAGGTCAGGCTGGCTGGAAATTCAGAGATCCATTTGCCTGTGGGATTAAAGATGTGCCCCACCACCCTCAGCAATGATTTTGGATTTCAATGCTAATTCTGGGTTCTAGGCAACTTCCCAACCCTGTACATCCTGAAGATTTCAAATCATCTTCATTTTTTCCTTTTCTTTTCATTTATTCTTCATTTTTACCCTTTAAAACGAAGCTCCTCCTTTCGTATACCCTTTCCATAGTCACTCAGGGGCCCTGATATTATCAACAACCAATCTACTCTTAATACACAGTTCCCAAGCTTATCCCTCTTCTAAGTTCTATGTGAGGATGGATGCATTCACTACTCACAATTTTCAAGGCTTATAAGAAAAACCTAGAATAGCACTTCCCAAATTTATGCTTTTACTAATGGTGGAGGTGGCCTTTGAACTGAGGCTGCACAGCAGCAAACCCATACTCCTGCTCACTATTTCAATTCTTCATGATTCAGTGTATGGCTGACATTGGTATGGGCATCAAAATAATATTTAAATCACAGGCCGGAGCAGACACCAATTCAGACAGCAATTCTTAAAACATAGTCCCCAGTAACATTATTATGGTCAGAGAGCAGGGTATGCCAGGACTTCTTTGGGGGTCTCTAACCTATGGTGGCAAAGACAGAACAGGCAGCTAGCCAGCCACAAGAATGGAGACGCCAGCTGGGCATGATGGCGCATGCCTTTGATCCCAGTACTCAGGAAGCAGAGGGCAGATCACTGTGAGTTCAAGGCCAGCCTGCTTTACAAAGCCAGTCCAGGACAGTCAAGGCTACACAGAGAAACTCTGTCTCAAACAAACAAACAAACAAACAAACAAACAAACAAACAAAAAATGGAGAAGCCAGTGATGGTGGTGATGGGGCAGAGGAATTTTCTGTTTAGAAGACAATGTGAAGGGCTTCCTGAGAGATTAAGTATCATCCTAAGAATGGTTCTTGGAATGGATATATTCCTTTTCATACAATTTTTTTGAGACAAGGACTCACTATGTAGTCCTGGCTATTCTGGAATGAGCTATACAGACTTGGCTGGCCTCAGACTCACATGAAAGCCAGGTTTGGCAGTTCGTGTTTATGATCAGCACTAGAGGAGGCTACAGGAGCATTGCTACTAGTTCTAGCTCAGTTTGGGCTATAATTGAGACCTTGCCTCAAAGAACCAAAAGAAAAAAGTATGCAGGCAGAGGAACTTTTCTATGACCATAGGGATCAAGAAAGCAAATTGAATCTACAGTATCAGGGCTAAAGGTAAGAACTGACACAACCTGACTGATCTTGCTTACTTGATAAGTGAAAGGGAAGGGAACTTCTGCTGCTGCCTCTTGAGTGCTGGGATTAAAGGCCATCGTACCTGGCTGAGATTTAAAGCCTTACTTCTCAGCGGCAAGGATGAGGCTGTAACTCACTAGTAAAGCGTTTGTCTAGTATTGCAATGGCCTGGGCTCCCTCTCCAGAACAATAAACAAGCAAACAAAGGACACTTTCTGGGAAGCATCTATCATTTACTCCTACCTTGGAGAAGGGAGAGTTTGCTAGCAGGAGTATGTGGCTACTTATATATCCTTGACCAAAGGACGAGACAGGGTTTCTCTGGGTAGCCCTGGCCATCCTGGAACTCATTTTGTAGACCAGGCTGGCCTCTAACTCACAGATGTCTGCCTGCCTCTGCCTCCTGAATGCTGGGATTAAAAGCATGTGCCACTACTATCCTACTTGAGAATTAAATTTTCTTAAAGATAGTTATCTACTACATTTCCCTATTTGACCATAAAACATTCACTTATCTTTAGTGTAAAGTATGTCTAGTGGTAGTTGATTTATTGGGTGGGCTTTGCTTTTAACAAAGCAAAGATTATTATCTTTAGCTCATAATTTCTATGTGAAGAGTAGGAAACAACTATTGCTCCCAAATGCTTAGACTTTTGTAGAGTACTGCAAGGGCCGAGAACAACTCCAGAGAGACAAGAGGTGGGCGAGAGCTGTCCATTCCTATTTTTGGTTTGCTTTGGCTTGCTTATCTACTCTCAGTTTGTAGTAGCTTTAGAAATGTTCTAAATTCCAGGCCTATCTTTTATAACAAGGGAAAAGAGTGACTGCATATACGTAAAGAGGAGATTCTGTGCCAGTGGTGGTGGCAAAAACTTGTAATTCTAGAATTCAGGACCCTGAGTCAGGAGGATTCAGTCCAATCTGGTCTGCATAGAAAGATCCTATTTCAAAAACTAAGCAGCTAAGGGAACGAGGGGGAAAGAGAAAAGGGGAGCAAATAGGAAGAAAGGGATTGGGGAAACAGTGAGAGGAAAGAGGGGAGATGATTGTGAAACATTTTCTGAATTCAAAACCAGACAGAAAGACAGACAGACAGACAGATAGATAGATAGATAGATAGATAGATAGATAGATAGATAGACAGATAGACAGAAATGGCTGTAGCTATAAGATATACTGTTTAAATCTGTCTCTCCCTTTACTATTTTACAGACAAGGTCTCTTACAAACAAGATTGCCCTGGAACTGATTACGTAGCCAGGACTGACCTTGCATCTGGCATCCTCTTGCCTCTTCCCCCAAAGTGCTGCCGTTACAGGTATGTGCCGCCACACCTTGGCAGCTCTCCTTTAATTCCACAACCTCCATGCCTTGAATCAGAGATACACTGACAAATCAATCGACTCCCTATTGGCCAAGTAGTTGCAAACTACAGAAATGAAGACTTGTGGGCAATTACTGCATTTCTTCTGTGGTTTGTGCTATCTTAAGGAATTCCATTTAACCATGAATCCCCTTGTTTTTATTTCGGGCTTCTAGTCTTTATCTCTAATTCCACTCAAACATACTTCCAGTTTATTTGTGGACGAAACATCCCTCATAATATCACGTTAGGACAAAAGCACTAAAGGAGACTTAGAACCACGTTAGACCTTGAGTCATCCTTTTACTTTGCTTAGTCATAATTTCACAGCTGAAAGACCTGGATAGTGTCTACAAAACAAGTATGCAACGTGATTCTGTTTATTTTGAGTTTCTCAGTGGCTCTAAATGCACCAAATGCTTAGAAAGTGCATGGTTTCTCTCTTCATCTCCTTCCACTCCCCACACCTTCCTCTGCCTCTGGCTCAGCAATTACCCAATCCTTAGCTGTGGCATCAACTAGGCAGTGAAGGCAGGAAAATGCTTGCCGAGAAGCCCAATAATCCCATGTGATGGTAATTAAGGTTGATCAGCCTCTGCTAATGTGCCAGGAGGGAATGAGAAGCTGCTCACTGGGCTTTTCACCTTTAATAGGCAGAGGAAGAGTTCAGGTGCAAAGAGATGATTAGTTGGAAGCATTACAAATAGGAACTGGACTCATTTATAAATGCCGTTTTCAGAACACATCCTGGGTGAGGAAAGAAACCAGGCTCTCTGCAAGTCCTTAGCCTTATTTCATTGAGCCTGAGATCTGGAGGCTTCAAACGTGTGGACTCATGCAATCTACTAGAGTTAAGTGACTTGACCAAGGTCACAATGAGAGTAAGAAAATGAGAATTCATAATCTCTGTTTGAAAGTATCAGTTGGAAACATTAAAATTGAATTGCAACATATAACCCATGGTTATATAGCATTAAGTAAAGAGAAAAGAGTGGCCTAGAAATACAATGCGTGGACCTTCAAGGTTAGTTATTATTACTCATCCAGCTCATTAAATAGTGTAAATTCTATTTGAAAACACTACTTGATCACTTACTACACACTAAACCCTGTGTGAGGGGGGAGGGGCTATACACCAATGAACAAGACAGACCCTGTACAACTCCTGCACGTCCAGCCCTATCTATTTCCAAGTCATCAGGCATGCCTTCCTACGTCAGGATCCTCTAGAGTGTGTTTCTTACCCTATTATTATGGGTGGTATTTTATTTTTAAATTCAAGTCCACAAGTAAAAAGGGGGACCTGGGAAGTAGATCAGAGGCAGCATAGCTGTTTTGCACATGCAAAGGCCCAGTTTAGAGACTTGCATGGATGGGAACAGAGCAACACCACTCCTAACAAACCAACTACTTGACATTTTTTTTGTGTGATTTCTAAAAAAAAAAAATCGATGCATATTTTATCTGTACCAGAATTCATGTGTTTTCTTTTAAATCTCTAAAATACCTTAAATACTTTCTTTTGAGACTATTTCTCATATACGCAAGTTGGCCTCAAACAGAGCATATGCAGCTGAGGATGACCCTGAATTTCTGATCCTCCTGCCTCCACCTCCTGCTGGGATTACAGCCATGAGTCACAATAGCCTGTTTACTTGATGCTGGGGATGAAACCCAGGACTTCATGTGGGCTAAGCAAGCATGGTGGTGTAGGCCTTTAATCCCAGAGGCAGAGGCAGAGGCAGAGGCAGAGGCAGAGGCAGAGGCAGAGGCAGAGGCAGAGGCAGAGGCAGAGGCAGAGGCAGAGGCAGAGGCAGAGGCAGAGGCAGGTGGATCTCTGTGAGTTCGAGGCCAGCCTGGTTTACAGAGTGAGTTCCAGGACAACCAGGACTACATAGAGAAACCCTACCTTGAAAAACCAAAACCACTCTTCATGTAACAGATTGCTTCTCTTCCTAGCCTCTCCTCAGGTAATGCTTCCCTCTGATTCCTTTCCTTCTCAGCTGTGAAGGCCCTAGAAGGTGGCTAATAAGCAACACAGGAAATCTGCTCAAGCACTCAAAAACCACATTACCTAGTTTCAACTTCCTTTTGAAGCTCTCAACTCAGATGCTGTCTTACTTGAACATATCTCAACACTTGTGAACTTTCCAGGTCTGGGCGTTTGTAATTCTGTAATTTGGGTGTTTCTTGAGGCATACTGTTCAGTTTATGATTAGACCATCACCATTAATTAATTCTCTTCTGGTCCTTATTTTTAATATCTGGGAAGGTTACCATGGGGAAGAGAGAGAGCCTGAAAGATGGCTCAGTGGGTAAAAGCTCCTCCCACCAACCCTATGACCTAAGTTCAACCTCTGGGACCCACAGGGGTAGAAGGAGACAGTTGTCCTCTGAGCTCCATGCATGCATGATGACCTGTGTATGCCCATACACGTAAAACAAAATAAAAACATAAAAAAAAGGAGAGGAGATGGAGAGATACCTCAGCAGTCAAAAGACCAGCTGATCTTTGGAGGAACTAACTGGGTTTGATTCCCAACATCCACACTTCAGCCCACAACCATCTGTAATTCCAGTTCCAGCAGATCCCAGACTCTATTCCAGCCTCTATGGGCAAAAGGCACGTGTATGATACACATATACACATGCAGACAAAACACCCATACAAAAAATAAATAAATAAATAAATCTTTAAAACAGGAAAGAGAAAGGTAGAGAGGGAGGAAGAGAGGGGAAGTTAGATCACCATATTTTCTTGTTCCTAAAATTCCATTTCGTGTTTAGGAAAACCTAAATCCTTCGTTCCTCTAAAGTTTCAATCCAGAAAGCTTTCTCAAGGTGACCACAGAGGGACATCTAGAGAACAATGTCAGCCTTCACCAAAGTACTACCTCACAGGTAGTACAGGTGTAAGCCCTGCCCACATAGACAGTAGCTCGCTCTAGGTCAAGAAGCCTGACTACGGGTTCTGTCTGGCCCAGGAGAGGGTAGCTGGGGCTTCTTACTCCTCGTCCTGAAGGGTCTCCTCCTCCTCCTGGATCTGCAACTGGTTCTTCACTGGAGCCAGGTTCTCGGTCTTGGCGTTGTAGTTCCGAAAGCAGACATTGAGCTTCTCATCAAATTCGTTCACGAGGTCCTCCATGGACTTGAAGCTGATTATTTCAGATGAAAAATTCTCAAGTTCAGAGAGGGAAGGGTCCTCCAGGTGGTGAGGAGATGTGCCATACAGACTCTGCGTCTTCTCCTCTGGTTCCTCGGAGCAACAGGGCCTGATATCCTCAAACTCTTCATCCAGACTTACCAGTGGGGCCTCCATCCTGGCACCACAGTGCAACGATTGCAACCGTCAAGCTCTGTTTCCCTGGAAGAAATACATAAGGCAGTGTGAGTTTGGATTGGGCTTTTGTGCCAGATCTGCCTGCCAGTTCTGCTGAGGATCCAGCTCACATCTTCCATTACTCTACATCCCTTGGAAAACAATGACTCCTTTTCTCCTGCACAAAACCTAGATTTTTAAAATGCTTATGAAAGCAGAAGGGGAACTGTTTGATAAGAGGAAAGGGACCAGTGGGAGGGTGACTGGGGGTGTGCAAAGCAAAGGAGAGTGAATGTGATCAGTGTACCTTATATAAATATGTGAAAAGCTCCTAACAGAGCCCAATTATCATTTCGTATAATGAATATATGCTAATAAAATATGTCTAACAGGACAAGAAACACATCCTGGGGATGGAGAGAGGGTTCAGAGGGTAAAGTGTTTGCTGCACAAGCATAAGGACCTGAATTCAGATCCCTAGTACCCACAGAAAATTGGGATATAGCAGTGTGTCTCTGACCCCAGTGCCTTAGAGTGGCGACAGGCAGATGACTCACAAGCCAGACAGTCTAGCTGAAATGACAAGTTTCAGGTTCAGGGAGAGACCCTGTTTTACAAAATAAGGTGGATTTCTTAAGTACCTTCAGTCATGTGGCCTTGACAATTTGTTTCTGGTCTATTACTATTGCTTTGCTCTGAACAAAGTTTCCTCAATTTTTTTGGTGTGTATTGGGGGTGGGGGGACAGACAAAATAACAAGATGGAGAAGAAATTTAGAAATCCCTGTGGACATCAACCTCTGGCCTCCACATGTACCCACACTGGTGCACACACCTACAAACACACCTGAGCACAAGGATATGCCACACACAATGCCACAATGACCACCACCAGCAACGACATCATCAACAGCAGCTTAGATTTTACTAGAGAAGCCATAGCTTCTGAAGCTGCTTACTACAATGCACTTAAACAGGTCAAATATCACTGCACATTTTCATAATATGAGCAACCAAAGTGAACTCTGGAGGGGCCCCGAAGCACAGTGATGAATTATGTGGCTCCTAAGCCAGGATGACTGGGTTTCCATTCTTCTGTCCCTACCTTAAGCAAGTTACTTAACGTCTCCCTTTCCAAGCTAGCAAAAACAACAGGATCTACCTCAGAGGAGTGTTAAAAGAGTAAAGAAGTAAGCACAGCTCAAAAAGAGTGTCTAGGATATGATAAATGCCAGTATTATTCAACATTCTCTCTTACTATTACTATTACTCACAGGTCCACACCCTTAGTTATGTGCTCCAAAAATCTACGGTGGTTGTGGGCGCTGTTGTCTTCTTCTTCTTCTTCTTCTTCTTCTTCTTCTTCTTCTTCTTCTTCCTCTTCTGCTGCTGCTTCTACTTCTTCTTCTCTTCCTCCTCCACCTTTTACTTCTTCATCTGCTTCTCCTTTTTCCTTTCCTCCTCCTTCTATTCCTCCTCCTCTATCTCTTTTTCTGTACTGTGATTATAGGCTTGTGTTATTAGACTGCCAGGCCTAGTTTAGACATTGTTTGTTTTTCACAACTTCTTGTATCAAAACCCAGCCTCACCTAAACTTATTTGACAATGAAATCTAATATGACTATAAAGCTGCTTATGGTCAAAAATGTTTTGCTGAAGAAACATTGAGTTTTTAAACAATGAAGGAAATGAAAGTGTAGCTTAGTGGCAGAGCGCAAGATCAGAATACGTGAGGCCCTGGGTTCCATCCATAACACCAAAAAAAAAGAAAATGAAAATGAGTAACAGAGCTAATTACCTCAGTCTGCAGTGGATGAGATGCAGAATATGCAGTGACTCCCATCTAAAATTTGAAATAATCAAAATTCTGAAACATGTTGGCCCCATGGGTCAAGAAAAGGGATCCTGTATCTAGAAATTACTCCCGTCATTAATAAATTATAGAAATGCATAAAACACCAACAGACACTTTGAAGCCCAGCATAGTGGTGCTTGCACCTGGAGTCACAGCGGCTCAAGAGGCAGAATAGTTTGAACCCAGAAACTTGGGGCTAGCCCGTGGTCTATTGTCATCTGAGAAATAAAGTCTAGGGATAAAGATCCAGGGTTAGTACTCACCTACTATGTGACAATCCTGTGAATGCTTCCTAGCACCATTCCACCCACTTAAAAAAATCTACATAAAATATAGCTAAGCTTTTGGTCAGGACTGGTAGCTCACACGTATAACTCTAGCACTTGGGAATCTGAGGTAGGAAGCCTGTCTCAAGTTCCTGGCCAGCCTGAGATACAGAGTGAGAGATACCCTGTTTCAAGGGCAGGGGGGCAGGAGGATGGGGATTCAACCTATGTGCTCCAAAAACCAAACATGTATCCATCTTAAGTATTACCCACTGGCTACACACTTAGGCATCCTTCTAAATTCAAACAGCTCCATGACCCCTATCCCCTCATGCAGTCCTTTTCATACACTGTCTTCAGCTGTGATTTCTGCTTCAGTCCCCACATGCAGGGCCCTTCCCAATTTTAATCTAATTTCCTTGAAGGCACAGATGCCCTTTGGATATCCTCCATGTCTCCAGCACACTGACGGTCCTGTGGCAGGCAACCAATCAATGTGTGCTCATTGAGAAATGATCTTCTGCCCCATATAGTTTCCAACAGCATTCCCGTCTGTCACTGGTCTACACAAGTCCAACTTCCTTCCTGGCTACACAAAAAGCTAGTCCAGCTTTTCTCTTCTGGTCTGATCAGCTATATGTGTAAACTGAAACCACACCCAAGTCATGGGACTTGTCCAATGAGTTCTCACTTCCCACATCTACCTACAAGACTAAACTATGCAAGACAGAGGGCATGCTGGGTGAATACTGGCTCTTACTGGGATTTTGCTGAGATGAAGCCAGTTACCATGGCATCAAAATACACTCTGAACATTTATAGTTTGCAAAGGCAGTGTAATAGAATAATTATATGAAAACCCTACCAGCCAGGAATGGTGGTGCATATCTGTACCCCCAGAACTCAGGGGGCACACGGGAGAAGATTGCTCCTGACTTCAAGGCTATCCTGGTTTATGTAATGAGTTCCAGGCCAGCCAGGACTACATGGTAAGACTGCATCTCAAAAAAAAAAAAAAAAAAAACCGGGAAGAAAAATAAGAAAACAACAAAATGCTGGGGGAAAATATACCCCAAAACAGATAAAGCAAGGCTGGAAGTGGAATTCAGTGGTAGAGGCCCTGGTTTCCATCCTTTTCTGACTGGCTCATTACCAACCAGTTTGAGAGTTATTGGGGCTCTCAATTGAGAAAAAAAGACTTCCTTCTAGGCAAGTCTATAGTGTATTTTCTTAATTTGTGATGGATAGGAGGGTCCAGCCCACTGTGGACAATACCACCCGCCCCCTCACGCATGTGGGAGGTCATATAAGCAAGCAGGCTGAGCCAGTAAGCCATGTTCCGATATGGCCTCTGCTCCAGTTCCTGCTTCAAGGCTCCTGCCTTGAGTTCCTGCCCTAACTTCCTTGATGACGGATTATGATGTAGACGGTATAAGCAAAAACAAAACACTTTCCTGCCCAAGTTGCTTTTGGTCACTGTCTTCATCACAGCAATCAGAACTCTAAGACGATTCTCAACACAGAAAAAGAAGACGCTGCCAAGACTCCTAAGTGCAGTGGTTGGCTGAATGGCATATATCCCAGGATCTGATTTTCTTATGGATTACCATAAAAATACTAGCATAGAGCAAGTACCTTTAGAAGCTCATTTTTAATAACTTTATAATTTTAATTATAGAAACATATTTACTTATGTCAATATATCCCAAGTATTACCATATTAATACATAATTCATATTAAAAATATGGAGACCATTATATTTTCTATTAAATCATTTTATAGTTATGGTCTTTCTTTGGACTAGCCACCTTGCAAGTACTCAAAAGCCATACATGCCTAGCAACCACTAAAAAATTTCATAATATGTACACACACACACACACACACCATTTAAAAAAAAAGAAAAAAGAAAGTTCCAGACTGCCTGGGCTCCTCAAGCTCAATGTTAGCCTGGCAATTTAGTGAGACGTTGTATTAAAAAACCCAAATCGGTCTTCAGATATGAGTATATAACCTGGTGTAGCCATGAAAACCAGGAAAGCAAAAATTTACTATGGGGCAGAGAGAAGGAGTGCTTGAAGGGGACTAGCAGGATACAAGTGATACAAAGTGGGAAATGGAAAAAAAGGGGGTGGATTTAATTGGGCATTCGGGGAGAGAGTTCAATACAGAAGAAGAGGAAAGGAGGAAGAAAGAGTAACACTGAGTATGTTTGAGAAGGCCATAAGGAATTCTTATTTTTACTTACCTAAAATTAATATAATGAATATAAGTGTATGAGCATATATACATTTTAAAAATAAGATTATGCTACTTGGACTGACAATGCTCCCCTCAAGAACCATTGACTATTTAACAAAAACCTCAGTATGAGGCACATGAAACCCCCTTTTGATCTAGGCTATTGCTGTTGCCCTTGGTTGCCCATCAGAGAGATTAAAGGTAAGTGCTTATTGCTAAAAAGATCAAGTACTTGGGACTTATGGGCTAGATGTGACCCGAAAGCCTTCTCCCTGAGAACTATCTTTCAGGTGCTATGCTAATTGCCAAGGGAGAGAAGCAACCAATTGTCCTACCTATGAGCTGCAACAATAACAAGCATAGCAAGAGATCCCTAAAGGTACAGCAGCAGCATTCATATCTTTGCGGTAACCAACATCTGTCTAACCGGACTTAGGGCCTCCTCAATAGGAGGGAAATAATGTCTGGGACTGAAAACCTAGCCAACCAGCTGATGAGGCTATGGATCTTAGAGTCGAACTTACTACTGCCACTTTACTAAACCAGCAGGAGGATCAAAGTCATCCTCAACTATATATCAAGTTTGAGTCCAGTCTGGGTTATATGAGACCCTGCCAGGAGAGGGAGGGGGTAAGAGATAGAGAAGAGAGAAGGGAAGACAAGAGAAGAGAAAAGGAGATCAA